TTCATGGCCTGAAAGTCTCACGTTGAGGAAGGACCAACAAAAGGTTTTTGATGCAGTAATCTCGACTACGTTTTGGAGCATTTGGAATTTTCGGAATTCGACAATTTTTGGAAAGACTATCCCTAAAAAGTCGTTTTTGTTTGATGATGTTGTAGATAAGATTTTTTGGGGTTTCTAATAGATGTAGTAATACTAAGTTACGTTGGACTAATTGGCTCTAAAACCCAACTTTAGCTTCTATTATTTTGTAATTGTTTTCTAGCTTCTTGCTAGCGTTTTTAATATAATTATGTTGTTCTAAAAAACATGTATGGTTCACATGCTGTTTATTAAGTGATTGTCATGTTTACAACAAATTGGAATACAATTTTTTTTTGAAGAAATACGAGTATATATAATTTTAATTAATTGTTGTCCGTAGTTGTAATTACTTAGAAAGCATATCTAAAAAAAAGTTAAAAAAAAAACTAAAATATGTATAATTTTAATTAATTGTTGTCCGTAGTTGTAATTACTTAGAAAGTATATCTAAAAAAATTACTAAAAAAAACTAAAATAAATCTAATAAGTGAGGGGTAGAGTTGGAAAATAAGAAAGAAGCACATGAGAAAAATTGAGCGTATTGTTGGATGTTTTTATTAAGTTTTCCAAGTATCATCCATAAGTTGTCAAAATGAAGTTTAAGGATTTTAAAAATGATTAAAGTACATTTTCTAAAGTTTTAATGTCATTTTTGTTGAGTCCATATAAGGGGTGTTACAATCCTTCAGGACTGTGATCAATATCAGGCTCTTACCCGACTTTACAAATAGTTAAATACATAAATAAGTGTTAGAAATTGGGTAGGGTATATATTAGAGATCTGGATATCCATTGGATCATGAAAATACTTTCCGAACTGATATTTGTACCCTATCCTGGGTTACAAGAAACTCAACATAGCATAATCCCAAGGGGACACTTACAAATCTAGGCACAAAAATATAAGCCAAATTGCTAGAACATTTTGAGTTCGTACGAAGAAGAACAAGAACTAAAAGGTCATCTTTCTCTCCAAGAGGAGATTCCTTTATATAGAAAATGAGATGTAGGGTTTTCTTCTAAGGTTGGCCGTTATGAGCTCATTTTGAAAACAAGCCAAGAGAATCCGGAATTAATGAGGAAATCAAGGGTTTCCAAAACTAACGATCTGAGTCAGTTTTACCATATTTCCCCTTAAGAAATCGATTTTTCTACTATGTATCCAATTGTAAATCAAGCGTTTCCAGATCAATCACCCCAGCTAAGGGCTCTGCCCCTTGGACCCCGCTAGGGGTGCTGCCCCTATACCCCGCCAAAGGGCACTGCCCATTTGGAAACCCCGGACCCAGGGGAGCTGCCCCCGGACCCCCGACTTGTCGTCAAACCGACTTTTAATTCAATCTTATACATGCGTGCACTCTTCACAAACCCAAACTTATATTAGAGTACAAATTACAAAGCTCCTTAGCTTACATGTAAGTTCCAATTATACAAAATGACCATGGTGATACTAAAATCACCAACAATAAGCTACATGAAACAAATGTCAACTAAATTGTGTTAAATGTTCTCCATACGTGCCAATTCATATTTTGTAGGAGTGGGTGACAAAGTGAATTTTATAACCGAATAACAGTTGCAGGTCAACTCACAAACACACATAATAATTCACGATTAAAATATAACACATAATGATAATCTAGAAAAATCATATATGTTGTAGAAATTGTAAAAATCTAAAAGAATATAATGTAAAAAAGTTGATTAATGCAATAAACGAAATATGTTATGCTTAGTGAATTTGTTATACATTGAACAAAATATACAACAAAATCTAAGACCGATCTTGAATCAAGATATGCAATAGGATCATAGGATCCCGAGTAGGATCATAATATCTCACTCCAATCCTATCCCATATCTTTAGTTTTTAATTTTATTGTCAAGTCTCTTATCTTTTAAACTTCAGAAAATCCATTCATTTTGCTCAACAATCTCATGTATAGCCTAAAAGTTAATATTCAATCAAAATTGATCCTCAAAAATTCTGTTCAACTCAAAATTGAACATTGTAGATATAGGAAACTTTATCAATTAATCTCAAATTTGGAAGAACATCACCGCACACAAGTTAGTCCCCTTTCTATCTTATAAGTTATACCTGTAGATATGCATGGTTACAATGATTTTTTTTCTTAGTTTTTATGGTTTAATTCTACAAATATTATGATTATAGCTTAAGAAGTTAAAGCAACATCATCATCATCATGTTATAATACAAGGTTTTTAAACCCGCACGTTGTGGTAGGAGTTTAAGAAATAATTTCTATTAAAAGTACATTACTATAAACGAAAAAAACTCACTAATGGATATTTATTGCAAATCTAATGGAAGTACATTGCTACAAATGGAAAAGCAATAATTATAAACTACATATTCACATAGATGCACAAATACACCCATATGTGCTATTACAATTTTGAAACTTGTTCAAATTAAATATGTTCCAACTTGAAAAAAGTACAATTCTCTAAAGCAATCCCAAGAAATGACAAAACAATTATAAGATACCCAAATTTAACTAATAAATAATAGCAACGTACTTTCATTAGTTTGTTTATTGTAGAATCTTAACTCATTTAATTCTATTACAACCTTGAAATTTTTTGAAGTAATGAAAGGGATGAAAGTCGGATGCTATAATAAACAAATTTTAGGAAAATACATTTAGATTTCATTGTTTTTATTCCGAATATATTTTATAAAAATTAGTAGTGAAAACCAAGTATGTAATTTGTATGGACCAAAAGTTGGAGTGTATTACTATATGCATACTATCATAAAATGAGCATTAAACATTGATGAGATTCTAGTTTTAGGATTCGTCGAAAACGAAACCTTAGACCATGCTTCTTTTACAACTTCAGTATTTCACTCTTATACCCTTGTATTTGAACCGTTCTAAATCTTCGGGCATATTTAATAAGCCAATCAGCACCCCAAAGATATTTACCTTAAAAAAAACATAATTTTTTGTAGCCTACATAAGAGATTAGTTATATCATATCAAGTGAACATGGATATCTCCAATTTCACTGGCTTTGTCTAGTCTCATCTTGTATTCATGGTTGTAACTTTGAATATCCTCTGTGCCGAGCCACCCGAATCTGATGCACAAATCATGTTATAATCTTCATTGTTGGATTGTTTAAAAGTATAATATTTTTCAAAAGTCAGACTCATATCGATAATCAAAAAATTAGATTAAACAATAACTTGGACTAAAACTTTAAAAAAATATATATTGGTTTGAATTTCTTTTAGATAACAATAGTTGGAGGGCATCTGTTCATAGATATCAATCGGGAAAAACAATTTATGGTCATTATCGACAGTCTGATACAATCTTGGCAGATGTAGGTTTTATTTTCTTTCATACCAAACTATGTTCTCTAATAGGGTAAAAGTACCAACAAAGTACCAAAGTATGATGTTATTTTACAATTCAAAAAAATCCACCAAAATACCACAGGGACCATGTCCGTAATTTACAGATCAAACATTTTACGGATTCAACAATCGGTCAAATACCACAGCCACCATTTCTGTAATTTACTATTTTTTATATTTCTTGTTTCGAATTATCTTGGTTTTTAAATTGTGGTGAGTTTTTGAAATAACAGGCTATATTTAATGCTTAATAAAGTGTGGAATCAAGGTGAAATTTACATCATATGCTTAATTAATTTTTTGAAATTGGATGAATGAAATAAAATAAAAAAATTTAAAAGATTTAAGGTACATGCACCTTTGCCCATTTAGCAAAACTATGTCAAAATAACATCCAACTCTGTCAAAACACGTTATTTTGGTAAAATTTCAAACTAAGATGTTATTTTTAAAGATTTAAGTACTTTGAAAATCAGTCAAAATAGGATGCTATTACGTGTCTTTTTTACTAAATACATAAGGATTTAGAAGAGAAATCAAGAGAAATTAAACTTTCCCCATGAAGTCCCAACTTTTTAGAAATTTGTCTTTATATATATTTTCCTTCCATTTCACCTAGTGTAACATAATTAATAAGTTTCTCAAAAATATTTTATAAATATCACAATATTTCCTTTCAAACACAGTTAATGGGGAAAAAGAAACATGATCTTCCCATTTTAATGGTTCTAACAGATTCTCACACCTGAGGCTTAGCATCGTTGTCCTTTCATATCTTAAAAAAAAAATCAAATTTTTTCAAAGATAAAACATGTACATGTTGCTAATAACATATTTGCATACCTGAATTCTAGAATACTATTAGATACCAAGAGTAATCAAACCATGATCCAAATGTGCACCAACTCCATAAATCCCATTGAAGGGGCTAGACACTTAGCCTACAACATAAACAGTTTTATCATATTTTTATTTAAAAATGATGTTGAAAAAACTAAAAATTATATTATTATTCTTTAGTTTAAATTCTCACCTTCATAATACAGCAAGATTGCAATCAGTTTACCATGCATTTCTTGTCGTTCAAAAAAGTTGGCATCAAGATCAAGCGAAAGGACAATAAACCTTTATATTTTCTAACTACTTCCCAAAAGAAAAAAATGAATTTAAAAAAATACAAAAATTGGCAACTTATATAATGTTATACTACTAAATGGTCATAAAATTTGATAGGCTGTATATCTATAAAAACTTACATAACTTGTTGATGATATTTTTCCGTAGTCTACCTCCATTAAAGTACGATATTAGTCAAAACCACTCGAACTTGAAAGAATTTCATAAATAAGAATAAAACGAACAAAGGGTTATTTATCAATGACCACATAATACAAAAACATAATCTATTCAAATCTATCACAATTACTAATTCACAGAACTTTCACACAAAAAGTTAATGAAGAGGAAACAAACCTGATCAGAAGAGATTCCTCGAGATCTTGCAATGCTGCCAATGCCTCATCTAGAGATCCATTGCTGATTTTGTTGCTATGTTGATAATCATATTTATATATACTTTGAGCAATATCCCCGTTATGATTGTCGTTGTGAATCTCTTTGAAATCTAAAACGTTGGAATTGAAGGAAGCAATGATTGTAGATTAAAATTAGATTAGATTGATACAAATCATATAAATAAAGAAGGGAATTTAACTAATTAAGGTAATTAAGTATTTCAAATGTTCACATATGGGTAATATTGTTTTTTTTGTACTCATTTACCCAACTAACTTGTTTCAGCCGTTCAAAAATAACCAACATTACCGGCTATTGTAGGTTTTGGGTGATGTGGCATCTACGTGGCTTGTACGCTACAATACCCATCACCTACATGGCATTGAGAAGTGTTTACATTATAAGAGGGTGAGATACGACAACTTATTAATTAAAACCCTAGATCGATCGATGACATCTTCTTCCTCATCCTTTTCTTCCAAACGACAAGACGAATTGCAACCGGATCATCCATGTGATTGCGATTTGCCATCTCGTGTGAAGACATCAAGAACCCCAGACAATCCTGGAAGGAAATTCAGAGTTTGTCAAAACTCACTGGTAATTCATATTTTTTACTTCTTCTTCATCCTTCAATTTAACATGTTCTTATAAATTTCTTGAAGAATGGAAAAAGTCCAAGCTGTAAATTTTGGCAATGGTTGGATGAGGATGAAGGGAGGAAAGATGGAAGAGGGCATTACAGGATGAAAGCAGAAGAAAGCTGCAATCTTACCTTGAAAATTTGTACCTTGGAGAATGAAATCAGCATATGCAGGATGAAGATTGAAGAAGAGAAGAACAGGAATAAACAAGAACTTGACAAAGTCAACTGGAAATTGTTTACCCATAGACTTGCATTAATTTTCTTGTTTCTCTTGTATGTCAAAATGTTGTTTTAAATTATGTATTATGATGTAGTATGACTAAATTATGTATGCTTTTGTGATGTTTTCAATGAAAAAGGTTATATTCTATCATTGGAATGGAATAGTACATTGTAATGGAATGGGTATTAAACTTGGTAGTATAAAAGATAGTAATAAACATTGTTATGGAATTGAATCATTGTAATTGAATCATTGGAATTGAATCATTGGAATGGTAGTGTACAAAACTTGTAATGTTATTGTTAATCACTGGAATTGAATTGTTCAAACAATGTAATGGAATTGTGATTACATTGTAAAGGAACTGTGATTACAGTTGATATTCTAAAAGATGGTAATAAATTATAAATAATACAAATGGTATTAGAAAGATGTGCAAAAGATGGTAATTGAATCATTGGAATGGTAGTGTACAAAACTTGTAATGTTATTGTGAATCATTGGAATTGAATTGTTCAAACAATGTAATGGAATTACGATTACACTGTAAAGGAATTGTGATTACAGTTGATATTCTAAAAGTTGGTAATAAATTATAAATAATACTAATGGTATTAGAAAGATTTGCAAAAGATGGTAATATATTATAGACATTCCAGGGAACATTGACTTCAAAAGATGTGTCAAAAGTTTTACATAACATAGTTAAACATTCATTACACCCAAAAGATGTACAAAAAGTTATGCTATTCCAACTAGTTTTCAAAAGATGTGCCAAAAGATTCCAAAGTTAAAAGATGTCAGTCAAAGATGCCAAAAACATTAACAATAGTACAATAAGCCAAAAGTTAATCCAACTCATACGGATTGTCATCACTACTGCCCTGTTTTCCCTCCCACATCTTTCTTATCTTCAGTTTTGTAATTCTTTCTGAAGGTTTCCTTGCCCTCTTTCCCACTACAACTTGAAAAGCTGGTATTTCCACTTGATCTTGAACTACAATTTGGTTAGCATCTTCAACTTGAACTTGCACTTCAGGTTCAACTTCAGCTTGAACTCCAAGGTGAACTTCAACTTGGTTAGCATCATGAACTTCAGGATGATTTTCAGGTTCAACTTCAGCTTGCACTTCATCTTGAACTTCATGTTTCACTCCATCTTGGACTTCAGGTTCTACTCCATCTTCAACTTCAGGTTGCACATCATCTTCAAATTCAAGATCAAAAGAGTCAACATCACTTTCAGGTTCTATTTCAACTTCACTGTCACTGTCAATATCAACTTCATGTGCCAATACAACCTTCACTTTATCTGTTTTGTATTACTTGAAAAGTTAAGTTATGCCCAATATGTTAAGTTATACAAGTTATATACAAATAAATATATCAAACATACCAGCTTTCTTGGATTTCTTTTTCTTTGAACTTGCATTTGATGATTCCCCAATTGTTTTCTGAGGACATGTTGTTCTATTATGCCCACTTTCCCTACATATGTTGCATTTCATCACACTACCTCTTTTTGTGATTGAATGCTTTTTTCCTTGGTTTTCCCTCTCAATTTGATCCCTTTTCCTTTTTGTTGATGGTCTTCCTGGTAGCCTTCTCCTTTTGGGGGGCAATGGGCTGATGTAGTCTACATGAGGCCACATGTCACTACCATTTAGTGGGTTAATGGTATTCCTGTAACAGTTTAGGTACATTGATGTGGTAAACCATGGTGACACATACTCCTCTACATCCCTGTTGAGGCTTGCAATGCAAGCATACCCATGCACACAAGGGTAACCTGTTAACTGCCAAGTTCTGCAGGCACATGTCCTACTACCAATATCCACAACATATGCATCATACCCAAGTCTGACTTCATACTGTTGATAACCAGATGGTATTACTTTCCAAAACCTGTCCATATACACATGTTTAAAGACAAACATATATAAGGACAAACATGTTTAAAGATAAACATATATAAGGACAAACAGTTTTAAGCACTTACCTTTGAAGATCCTTAAGCTTGGACAACTTCAGCCTAATGGTAGGACATATGGTTAAATCCCAAGATTGCCCCTTAATCTTCTGTTTATAAAGCCTCTCCATCACATAAATTCGAATTTCTTCTAACATGGTGATTAGTGGTCTCTTCCTAGCAACTTCAATCACAGAGTTGAAACTCTCAGAGATACCATTTTCATATGCATCACAAGCCCTATCAGTCTGAAAAAATGCTTTACTCCAAGTTTTAGGGTCCCTTTCCATCAAATGGTCCTAAGCTAGTGGCTCTAATTTCTTGATTTCATTCATGTGTTGTTCAAATTTTGCAGGGGTAGTAGCTGCAACAGCATACCATAAAAGCTTTCTAAACACTTGGCCCTTAAACCTTTTCAGGAAGTTAGCACATATGTGCCTAGCACATTGCCTATGCTCTGCTGCTGGGACCCTTTCCTTCACAGCCTCAAGTAATCCCTGTTAGCAATAGACACAAAATTTAAACAACAAAAACATAACATAAGCTAAAATAAAGATGAAAATAATAAAAATTGATTACTTTGTGTTGGTCTGATATCAAGGTTAGTCCATGCCCAACTCCCATTCCAAGGTCCTCAATTAGAAGGTCAATAAACCACTTCCATGTTTCTTTACTTTCCACTGATACAATAGCCCAAGCAATGGGATATATATGGTTATTTGCATCTCTACCTATAGCAGAGAGCAACTGACCTCTGCATATGCCCTTTAGGAAGCAACCATCTAGTCCAATTACCCTCCTACAACCTTCAATCCATCCATCCTTCAATCCCTTGAAACATACATAAAACTTTGAGAAATATGTGGTTCCATCAGGCATGACATCTACATCCATCTTCACTGTTGATCCAGGGTTAGTCCTTCTTATCTCTTCTCCATAGCTCCATGTTTTTGCATAATGCTCTTTCAAAGTACCCTCTATCTCCTGAAATGCATACTTCCTTGCATTTCTGCATTGACCAACACTTGCAATCAAATTAAATTTCTTGCTGACTTTAGCTTTCAACTTCCTTATACTCATCTTTGGTTTCTGAAGTATATGATTCATGAAATGCTTTGCTATCCATTTATAGGTAACAATGGACCCAAATTTGAACACTCTTGCACAATTATGCATATCATTCAGAGATTTAATCTGGAATGATTTTTCACTGCTCATCCAGGTTGCCCATAATCTAAAAGGACAACCTTTACCCTGTTTATTTGTCTTACCTTTACAACATTTTACCAATAACCTTTCATGATCACTTTTCTCATACCATAAATCATATCCATTTTTGACTGCATAGTTGGTGATACACAACTTCAATTCCAATGGATTAGAAAACTTCATACCCAAAACTGGCACCATTTGCTCCCATTCTTGATTCTCATTATGGACAGGGAACACAACATCCTTAAGTTTCCCATTGTTTGCTTCCTCTTCATCATCATCACTAATATGCCCTGAAAGTTTGTCCAAGAATGGGTCTCTAACAGTTTTATCAAAAGTATGTTCATCTTCATCATCCCATTCATGTTCATATTCCATTGTCATTGAAACTTCAGAATCCTTGTCATCCTCTTCATCCAACTCATCCAACTCATACCCTTTACCATCTTCTAAGAACTCGTTATCAGCCCAATCAAGAATTGGTTCATTTCGGTGGTCAATGTACACATCTAACTCACTCTCAAGACTATCACTCTCCAGACTATAAACAGTCTCCACAAACTCCCAATAATCAGCATCACTGTCGATTCTTCTAATACCCTCACACAAGCTTTCCTTTCTCATACAGTAGTAGACATTATCACATTCTCCATTTGTTAATTTCGTAAGCCACAAAAGAAACTCTTTATACGTAAATCCCCCAAAATCCACATCACGTACATTTGTTTTTACGGGGTCTAAGTACACCAATGGGTTTGGCAAAAAGAATCCATTGTAATGAAAATCTACAGATACATACATACCTGTAGATGAGGATGCCATGCTAGCAGTCGACTTCAATTCCAACTTCAATTCCAAGACCTAAACGTCGATTTGATGTATCGATTGATTTCTCACAGAAGAAGGTAATCGAGGTGTGTTAGCTGACGATGACGAACCCTAATTAAATGAGAAAGGGGTGTAATGGCCACGTAAGATTCCACGTAATGTTTTAAACCGAGCTAAATCAATGTTACCGGCTAAAACAGGTAATAGCCGGTAATGTTGGTTATTTTTGAACGGCTGAAACAAGTTAGTTGGGTAAATGAGTACAAAAAAAACAATATTACCGATATGTGAACATTTGAAATACTTAATTATCTTAATAAGTCAAATTCCCAATAAAGAAATAGAAAAAGGAGAAGGAAAAGACATATATACCTGAAATGCTGAAACTAAAGGGAAACAGCCGCAAAAATTAGATTATATTTTACAATGACAATTCTGTAAAATATAAAATATTTATACCGAATCTTTGAAAACATTGATTGACTCGCTTTATTTTATTTACTAAAAGGCTAATTCTTACATCCTAAAATAAAATAAACGATTTCATTCATTTTTTCATGTTGCCAAATATACAAAAAGGAAATAAAAGGCGGATACCAATTGTGATACGCAACCACCAAAAGACAAGTGTTTACAAGGAGACAACGACAGTAACACGCCACGTGTCATCCTTCTTAACCACACCACACGCTCTCTATATATAACTTCCTCGACTCCATTCCTTCATCCAAATCCTTTTACAATTCAATTTCCGATCGAAGTTTACCGAACATATTTCACGAAATTCTCTACATCTCCCCATTTATCCAATCACAAGGTATGTTTCTCAAATCAGATCATGTTTCTAGGTATTCTATTTGATTCGGATTTTGATTTTGTGTTTGTGTATCTGTTTCTGTTTCTGTTATTGTTTCAGATGGTGTCTGATGCGAGTAAGAAGAAGGCGGCTCAGAAGAAGGCTGCAGCTGCCGCTAAGAGAGGAGCTAAGACCGTTGCTGCTGCCGCGTCGAAGAAGGCTGCGGCCATAGGTACGGTAAACGGGAATTCCAGTTCCGATAATTTGGCGAATGGGATGGGGTCTCTTGCGATTTCTGATCGAACGTGTACTGGAGTTCTTTGTTCTCATCCTTTGTCTAGGGATATTCGGGTAAGTATGATGATCGAAATTGGATCGTTAATTTCTTTGATCAATTTCCGTCTGATCACTGATGCATACAATTGATTCGTTTCGTCCAGATGAAAGTTGTAAAACCTAGCACATTTATATCAAATTATTTAGTTTATAGTGCACAAATACTTTACCATGGTTATAATTTAAGGCTGCATATATCTAGTTAGGGATTTGAATATTAGGTAATTTAGGCCTAACCTAACATCTCATACTTTGATTAGTTTGATACGTTTCCTTTATGATGTGACTGTTACTAAAAATTTGGTCCTGTATGTGTGATTGCTTACTCGCTGTTTTTTGTATATCCACAATCTAGCTCATCGCATTACATCATAGAAGTTTAAGAGACTTGCAAGCAACTTAATTTTAGGTGTATAATTCACAATAATGCCCTTGTATCATAGACGCTTTTAATCTTTATAGTGTGATTATGCAAATGGGAGTCCATTTAGCTCAAATCATTCTGCCATTTGTTTTACAAGGATCGATCACTTGTTACGAAAAGGTTTATGAGATTTTCTTATAAGCCTGATTAATATGTGTTATGTTTTATATGCTAAACTTCTTTGAGTAGAATGAACCTATGATAAATGTTTTGTTGTCTGTTTGTTCTTGCTTCTATGAATGGAAAATCACCAAAAATATCCCCTTTTTAAGAATTTCTTGAAGCCCTTTCTTCATTTAGTGGTTAAATGTGATGAACTTCTACTTTCCTAACAGGGGTTTGGTTAGGATTATGAACTATAAGACATAAAATATAGGCTTGCAAAATTCTCTACCTTAAGGACCTTCAGTTTTTGTTTTAAATAATCTAATATGAACATTTTATCCCTAATGAAATTTCACATATTCATCCCCACACTTTTTTAAAACTTTTAAAGGCAATGCCTTCAATTTCAATCCTACATTCGATACAAGTTGTGTTCACTAAGGTATAAATATGTAACAATAATATGATCTATTACCTTTATTTGAGTACAAGTATAATTGCCTGAGGTACAAGTTCTCAATTCAAACAGAATAAACACAGATATAAATTCTCTGGCTTCATTTGTGGTGTTATTGTAGTTGGAGTTGAGGTTGAGCAAATCATCAATGGCATCAATGGTGGAATGTTAGTGAAGAAGATGAACTCTTCATGAAACTGTTGGTGTCACTCAAGAAGATGAAATGCTCATAAACTTGTATAAGCAAAAGGTTGGTGAATAATGAATACTGAATACTGAATAATAATAGCTGGAGTTAAATAAACCCAATTCAACTATTATCATAAATCTTTATAATTCAAAAAATCCACATAGTTAAGTTAACCCATGAATCCATAATAAAAAAAAGATTATAACCTTTATTCAATTCATATAAGCTTATGACCAAAATCCCATTTTACACCAAAGTTTTTGTTGATTGATCATTGATTGCTTTTGTATGTTAAGAATAGCATTTGTTCGATGCTGAGGTGGCACATGAATGATTTTGCTGACGTGGATTAATATTTTCAGATAGAGTCTTTATCACTTACTTTTCATGGGCACGATCTTATTGTTGATTCAGAGCTAGAGCTTAATTACGGGAGGTTTGTACTTTGTATTATCTACATTTATTTGATTTTTTATTTTTGTAATGTAATTATGAGATTTGACTTTGACTTTGACTTTGACTTTGACTTTATAGACGATATGGTTTACTTGGGCTAAATGGATGTGGTAAATCTACACTTCTTACTTCAATTGGATGTCGAGAGCTTCCAATTCCTGAACACATGGACATTTTCCATCTCACGAGAGAGATTGAAGCTTCTGACATGTCATCACTTGAAGCTGTCATGAATTGTGATGAAGAAAGACTCAAATTGGAAGAAGAAGCCGAACGCTTGATTGGACAGGTCATTATCATCTTCCCCTCAACTTTCATGATATTTACTATTTAACCCTTCTCCATTACACCATAAAAGAATCAAACAAAAAATATAGTTTTTGTCTTGTTGACATCGGTCTCAGTTTAGTCAAACGCAACTAAACGCAGTACAACCTGTTTTGTCATGTTCTGTTAAAAAATTGTTTTGCGTGGATTTAGGATGACGGCGGCGGAGAAGCGCTTGAGCGCGTATACGAACGGTTAGACGCGATGGACGCGTCCACAGCCGAAAAGCGGGCGGCCGAGATTCTAAACGGTCTCGGGTTCAACAAAAACATGCAACAAAAGAAAACCCGAGATTTCTCGGGTGGTTGGCGAATGCGTATCGCGTTAGCCCGAGCCCTGTTCATGAACCCGACAATCTTACTCCTTGATGAACCTACAAATCACCTCGGTCTGTCATTTAAAAAAAAAAAAAATTTCAAAATCATTTTTCATAAAAAGACGCTAACGCCCTTACATATGCAGATCTTGAAGCGTGTGTTTGGCTCGAAGAAACCCTAAAAAAATTCGAACGTATACTTGTGGTTGTCTCACATTCACAAGACTTTTTAAACGGTGTTTGCACGAATATAATCCATATGCAAAATAAAAAGCTTAAAATTTACACTGGTAATTTCGACCAATACGTACAAACACGATCTGAACTCGAAGAAAACCAAATGAAACAATATAAATGGGAACAAGATCAAATCGCGTCAATGAAAGAATACATCGCCCGATTCGGCCACGGGTCGGCAAAACTCGCCCGACAAGCCCAATCCAAAGAGAAAACATTAGCTAAAATGGAACGGGGCGGACTGACCGAAAAAGTGACCCGAGACAGAGTTCTTGTCTTTCGGTTCACCGACGTCGGTCAGCTCCCGCCGCCTGTTCTCCAATTCATCGACGTCTCGTTCGGTTACACGCCTGAAAATCTCATTTACAAAAACCTAGACTTTGGAGTTGACCTAGATTCTCGGGTAGCTTTAGTGGGCCCGAACGGGGCAGGGAAAAGCACACTGCTAAAACTAATGACCGGAGAGTTGATGCCGACTGACGGGATGGTGAGGCGGCACAACCACTTGAGGGTGGCTCAATTTCATCAACACTTGGCGGAGAAGCTTGATTTGGAGATGTCGGCTTTGGCTTACATGATGAGTGAGTATCCGGGGAACGAGGAGGAGAAGATGCGGGCGGCGATCGGGCGGTTCGGGCTGACCGGAAAAGCGCAAGTGATGGCCATGAGGAATTTATCGGATGGACAAAGGAGTCGGGTGATATTTGCATGGTTGGCGTATAGGCAACCGCATATGTTGTTGTTAGATGAGCCGACTAATCATTTGGATATTGAGACGATTGATAGTTTGGCTGATGCGTTGAATGATTGGGATGGTGGGTTGGTGTTGGTGAGTCATGATTTTAGGTTGATTAATCAGGTGGCGCGTGAGATTTGGGTGTGTGAGAATCAGAAGGTGAGTAAATGGGAAGGGGATATTATGGGGTTTAAGGAACATTTGAGGAGTAAAGCTGGTTTATCGTAGGTTTTTTGATATTATTAAGTCTTGATAATATATTATTGTGTTTAATTTAATTCAATTAATATATGTATTGTAATGGTTGTAGTACAAATCATTGGGCTCTTTGATTGGATCATTCTAATCTCCAACAAGTTTAGTGATGCCGAAACAATAAGGATTGAAATAATGTTTAAGTGTGTAATGTGAATATGTGATGCAATCTTAATTAGCCAAATATAGTTGCTACAATATGACCATTCATAAATTTTATATTATGTTTATGGGTGGATAAGGAAAGTGTGTAATGTGAATATGTGATGCAATCTTAATTAGCCAAATATAGTTGCTACAATATGACCATTCATAAATTTTATATTATGTTTATGGGTGGAAAGATGTTTAAGAAAGAAAAAAAAAAAAAAGGTTTGTTTTCAGAAGACTAAGGGCATAAAATGTTTTTTTTGACCATTTTTCTACCAAAACACAAAAATAATTTTGGTTTTGCAAGACATATTCTAAGGTTTAATAGTTGTTCTTTTTGAAATTGTTTGATGATGTAATTTTATTAATAAGTGTATGTACAGAGCTGATCGAACAAGTGATTCGGACGAGTTGAATGAAAAGTTAACACCGAATCAATTTAAATACAATTCTAAAATATTTAAGTTAGAGCAATCGAACACTTTTTTTGATCTTTTAATGCAACTAATAAAATAAATACAATTTTGAAAGTTATATTTATCCGTAATGATGGGAATGCTATTTATATTTTATAGCCAACCAATTTCAACATTTGTTTGGAGTTTTGAAGAAGTGGAAAATATCAACTAAAATGTCAAAATTTTGTAAAAAAGCCCGAATAAATTGATAATGGTAATATATATTCTATATAACTATAACTATATTCGAAAGAATGACTCAACTTATATGATTTTCAACAACGTTCATTACATACAATACACTAGAACTAAGCCGTCGTAAAAGATTTTGTCATATGATTATATTTACGAGTGATCAACCCATGATATGCAAAAGATTTATAATAATATTGTAAATATGATATAGGATGTCAAAAATTTCATTTAAAAATAAATAATCAAAAAACTGCTATTTATAACGTATTTTAATTAAATAAAATGCATTATGTATCTGTCTTATAATATCGATTCATTTTTTACTTGAATTTTATATGTGAATTTATATTTATCAAATAATTTAACCACTAAGTTTATCAATCATCAATTTCTATCGGTTAGATTTTCAACAATAACATTTTAACATGTGTTTTCTCGTTACAAAGGAAAAAAAAAAGGAAAAATCCGATTAATGACATTTGCATGTGCAATAAATAAACCATGAAAGGTCCCTATTTGGATAGTCAATTTCATGGACCACAGTGTGTCATCTTAGTACCAAAACTTCACACCCCAACCTCAAAACAACTTACATTTCATATATACACTTTTTCTATTTAAATTTACTCGAATAAGTGTTTTTTAAGTATATGTACAAAGTACAAACAGTCTCATTCTAATAGCCACCTTGGTAGGGATATTCATATCCAAAATTAATCCATGTTTCAAGACACAAAAGTGGAAAATAATCTCCACCAAGTTGTCGACCAAATCCATTGTTATATATTTGCGATTTCCTAGTCATCTTTACTATTATATAAAGCATTTTAAATATTTCTTGAAATTTAAGAGGTATCATACTTATTACATCATGTACAATCAATTTATACTTACCCTTTAATACACAAATTACATTTTAGGTTTTAGAAATTAATCACATTAAACATTAATGCTTCATAAATTAAATCAGACCATACTCTTCCATCAATTAAATGATTTTCCTTCTTTATTCCCCCAATCACTTATCTCCGACATTCCCCCATTAAAACATAAATTAAATTAAACCATACTCTTCTATCAATTAAATGATCTCCATTTTATTATAAACAATTTTTTTACAAGAAAACGAAGCATTTTAAAATCTATAATTGGTATCAAACCTATGACCACTGTATCATGGTCTTTGTATATTTAGTAGGTTGAAAAACTTAAATACGGGTGAAATACGTTTTTAGTGGTTGTCATCATAACATAAGATTTTTCAGAGAGGTAATCATAATTTTTTTTTTTGAAAAACACATTGATAAAAAATGAAAGTAAAATATTATAATAAATAAATAAATGGATAAACATTTACGTTAACTTTATAAATTAAAATGGTTTCAAGATTACAAAAACAACTTAAAATAGATTGAAAATAAAATCGAATTTAAAATGTTACGGTTATTAGAAGTTAACATTATGAATGAGTGATTAATTGCAATTTGCAAGAAAGTGATGCGTAAATGGATTTATCAACGTTTGAGGATTGTAAAAATGAAAGAATTATAAATATTGTAACTTGGTTATACTTAAAGGTTTTTATGGTTTGATCTGATAGCCGCAAAGAAACTATTCACCGAAATAAATTAATCAACGTCTGGAAACTATTTTTTTGCCGCCGCTTTGCGCGGGCACACCACTGGTATATTATAAAAGAGATCAAAGTTTAAAGATATCTTACTTTAAATCTAGCCCAATACCTTAATGAATTTTTAAAAAATAGAAAAAAATCTAGTTTTTCCAAAAATAGCCACACTTACCAGCGATTTTGTACCCTTGAGCTGTGATTTCCTTTGTTCTAACTGTGATTTCTTCTAATCTAACTCTGATTTTCTCACGAATTTTAGGTATCTTTTTTTTATGTCCAAATGGTAAGAATATGACAAAAAAAAACAATTTTTTTGTCCTAATAATAATAAAATTGATTCTAGAAGTCACGTATGGTAGGATATATGACAACAAAATATAAAAAATGAGAAGATTTTGGCAAAAAAACAGGTACAAATACATGATGCACAGGTCATGCATCAACAACTTGTACTTTCATAGATGAACCACATAACTATGAATGTACAAGTTGTTGATGCACGACTTGTGCATCAGACACTTATACATTCACAGATGAACCACATAGTTGCGATTTTTAGCATTCTACCCGAGATTTCCTTTAAAATGAACAACCTAACTGCGATTTTCTCTCACGATAATTAGAAAGTGTGAAAATAAGAGGTATTTCTAAAGTTTCTGGTTTTTATACTTCCAACCTATCGGGCGAAATTGGAGCCAAATTGCAGCTTATGATGAGGAAATTACAATTAGAGGATACAAAATCATAGTTGTGACTAATTACATGTGATTTCAGTGGTTATTTTCAGGAAACGTTACTTTTTTAGTTATTTTTTTAAAACTGATTAAAAAGATTAGGTTGTATCAAGAACTTTGATTTTGTTATAAAATATGATCAAATAATAAGATAAATTATCTAGTAAAGAAAGACATGTAAGTGGAGATAACTTTTATTCAAATACTTGTATGAAATCATCAAAAGTTTACAATACATAACACTCACTATTTATACTAGACAAAGAATATGAAAGGTGATGTATGTTATGAATACTCATTATAATGGTCCATAACTACATTCATAAAACTCATAATAATGTTTGTTATAATGCTCACTAATTATGGAGAGTGATGGGGAATATGGGGAATCCAATAATCATTCACTAAATAATAATTCATAACACTTCCCCTTGAATGATGATTATATCATGTTTCGTTGAAACCTTAATAGGTAAAACCTCATGGGTAAAACCCTTTATTAAGGAAAAAGAGTACATGAATAATAATAGATATTTGGAACAATTGCTTCATTAAAAACCTTGCTAAGAAAACCCAGTAGGAAAAAACATAGTCAATGAAAAGAATACAATATGTTTCCAACTCCATCTGATCATTACATCGCTTGTTTTCCTTAAAGTGTCGCATTCCAATGTTTCGTACCATGTTTTCAAATTTGGATGTAGGAAGTGTTTTAGTGAACAAATCAGGAATTTTGTTTCTTGATTGGATTTTCTGAATGTTAATGCCACACTCTTTTTGAAGATTATAACCAATTTGATGTTTGTTACATCAACCTAATCCATAATATTAACCTAAATTCCTAATAATTCACAAATAAAATTGAAAAGGTACGACCCTCAGACTCTTGATGTTTCATTCTTTAATCTCCAGGTCGGCTGGCACTTGTGACATCCCCAAGTTCACGGCCAGAAAAGACCGATTTGTTTATGCTTTGTTTTTAAAATTAGAGTAATCGTTTAAAGAAAATTGTTGCGGAATTTGTCCCCAAAACAAGATATGATAAGAATTTATCAAAGCATTTCTTAAAGAAGAGTATTTTTATTATATAACAAATCTCGGGATGTCATGTTCCGATACAAACACATAAGCATAAACAGAACTTACATTTATTTACACTAAATGATTTACGTCTCCTTTAATCTCTCAGTAAAATATGTCTTCGTATTGATACCTGTGATACAAAGAAAACTGAGTGGGTCAGGCTTGGGAGCCTGGTGAGCATATAGGATTTTCAACCCACAATAATACATTTGTTATATTCAATTATCAACAATCAACCCAAATACCCATCCCCATTATCTTCTTTATTTATTAAGGTTTTATCCTAAGAATCGATTATACTTTCTTCATTCATTCCTAAGGATTCACCTAAGGAACTGGCACACAGTCCATTTGCTACCACGGTTTATACAACAGGCACTACGTCGCATAGTCACCAGGGTTCATACAATTGGCACTACGTCTCATAGTCACCTGGGTTTATACAATTGACACTACGTCTCATAGTCACCACAGTTTACACAATAGGCACTACGTCTCATAGTCACCTGGGTTTACACAAAAGGCACGAAGTCACATCGTCACCAAGGTTTATCAAATAGACACGGAGTCGCATCGTCACCAAGGCTTACTCAATAGGCACGGAGTCGCATCGTTACCAAGGCTTACTCAATAGGCACGAAGTCGCATCGTCACCAACTATTCCATCTACCCATGTTCTACCCAACATTTTTGTAGATGTAAATACAAACACAATTTAAATCA